CCAGTTCATGCAAAGATATCTCAATTTTTACTCAAGTTAGAGCTTGCACGGACGGACGGACAGACAGTCACCCGGATTTCAACTCGTCTCTTCATCCTGATCATTTATATATATATAACCCTATATCTAACTCGATTAGTTTTAGGTGATACAAACAACCGTTAGGTGAACAAAACTATTATACTCTGTAGCAACAGGTTGCGAGAGTATAAAAAATTATAGCATGTTTTGGACACAAAAATGTTAATTTACCACAAATTTCGTATAGGCAAACAATTTTTTGTAAAAAACCAAAACTTTATAATTTGAATTTTTCACATTAAATTTGAGGTTATGAGAAAAAGTTGTGCATACTAAAGTTGTAGATATTTTTATTACCTATAACCTATAAGAATATAACCTATATAAGAATAAAAAACCAAAAATGTATAATTTGAATATTTCACATTAAATTTGAGGTTATGAGAAAAAGTTGTGCATACTAAAGTTGTAGATCTTTTTATTACCTATAACTTTGGTACATAATTTTTTTCCATAGAACTCGTAGTTTTGCCGAAAATCATGATAAACCGTTTTTAACCCTTAAAAATTCGACTGCCCCCCACTCTCTTTTCCCGTTCCCGGCGCAGATCGTTCCTATATTAATTTTCTTGTCATTTATATTATTTTATCTTACTGTTCCAATGGCTCTCAATCCGCTATGATATTTTTCACTTTTTAGCAACACAAAGCCGTTAGCACTAACCTATATAATATTTCAAAACATATTTTATTTTTTTCTTATTATAAATTGAATTTTTTGCCTGAATTATCAACGAAACTGACCAACTGCAGTACAGCAAACAAAGCTCCGAATCATTAATAGTCTGCCGAAAAAGTTCACATAGCCGCAACGACATCAAAATACCGCCAACGGTGCATTGGCGTGAGAAAAAAATATACAAAATGTAAGAAAACCGTTCGATTTCGAAACTAAGTGATCGGTCATTGATTTCGAGTTCACATTAGGAGCTGCATTGAAGAGTGAATATTGGTGTTGAGCGCCCCTAAACAAACACAATAAATACATACTTATGTATGTATACAATGTTATGTAATTATGAGCGTATAATATTATGTCCATATATACAGATGTACGCACACATTTAAACCGCAAGTAGCGAAGAAAACTAAAATAAGAATGAATATTTCCATCCCCTGCCGTGAAAAGACGCGATCACTGCAATTGCTGGCTGGCTACTGTAATACAAATAAGCTTGTATGTGACATACATGTGCATACGTATAAATGTATGTGTGTGTGTGTTTTGATGTTTGTGTTTGTGTACGCTTGTAAGTGCCACAGGCGAAACTTGGAATCTTTTGTTTTCGAATTCTTGTGTAGCTGCTGGCAAAAGCATACAGCAATATTTGACGCATACATCGATTTGATGCACACACACACAGAGTAACAAACAAACGCACATACATACATACATCTGTATATTCACATTACATTTATTTATTCATGCTTGTAAGCAATTACAAATATATTTTCGCTTTTATGTGGGGTGTAGAAAATTGTAAAATTATTACGGAACGGCGGCGCGAGCGTTTTTGTGCGATTTTATTTATTTCAATAAATTGCAACAATGTATTGAAGATTATATAATTGCATACAAACAGAAAAGCGTATCATTGTTGCTGCTTTGTCGTTGATTTGATTAATAATTTGGTCTTTCATTGTTTGTTTGTTTGATTTTAGGTGTGTATTGTATATGTCTGTATGTGTGTATTATACTCATGTGTGTTTGTCTTCTAAATTCGCTGGCGAACGTCATTAATATTCGTAATTCGTATTTGAAGGATTTTTGCACAGCACAAAAGTATGCAACTACACACGCACACACATATACATATCGATGTATATACATACATACATTTGTCAACTCATGCAGACGCGTATACTCGTGTGGATTTTCTCCAGCGCGTCGCAAGAGCTCTTGAATGTCCTCATTGATGAGTGTTTATCAAGCACTTATAAGCCACTCCACACCCCACTCCAAGCCCACTATCTACTACGGGCAACTTCATTGAAATTTTATGCCACACACATACATACACACACACCCTTACATGCATATATAGGTATTTACAACACGCCCTCCCCTAAGCGCCTGGGTATCACTTTGAGTAGGAGTTCGGTGCGAATATTTACTTATTGACAAGCAGACATACATACACATATTGTGTAGTGTGATTTTTGCACACAAACAACAACAACAAGAACAACAAATACGTTGACACAAAACAGCTTGCAAACTCAATTGGCATCATGCTAATGATGCGTTATATTTAAATTTTCCTAACTTCGCTTAGATTTTCTCGAACACACACACACATACACACATGCACCTAAATGTACATTCGATTCATATTTTTATGATTTTCATTTTTCGAAATTCCATTTGGAAATTTTCGTTAATCAAAATTGATTAGGCATGGCAAGTTTGACGCTGGCTGGAAATCACGCTGCATTGTATGCATTTATAACTTGGGTCACACTGCGCTCATGTTTGTTGTTATTACTGCTGTTGTTGTTGCTGTTTTTGTTATTAAGTGCGGATTGTGTGGAATTTGTGCGCATAAAACGCACTTGTCCGCAATTAAGTGCAATCAAGTTAAGTGCTCGCGAGCATTCTTTCCTGCTTGTTGTTGTTGTGCTTGCTGTGGTTGTTGCTGATGTTTGCTTTTGCCAGCTTAAGCTGCACGCTATATAGGGAACTTGTTAATTGTCAGGGTCGGGTCACTTGCGAAAAAAGGAAATAAAATAATGCCAGAAATTTATATGCGGAGAATGTCATTAACTCTAAATTGTCGCTGTCCATTGTTGCAAACACACACCTACATACACATCTAAGTATGTGGACTTATCCTATTTGAGTTTGGTGTTAAGTGTTTTCGTAATTTTTTAAGTATTGGACGCACTCTCAAATTAGAAATTATTGCGGTATTCTGAGTCGAACGGAAATGTTTGCCATAAAATGGAAAATGCGTAAATTTGAGTGGAAATCTGCTTCAACTGGCTTTCCCGCAAGCTTTAGCACAGGCACTTCGTTTGTGTAAAAAAAATATAAATTTAGCTAAATAATAAGAATTTGTATAAAAAAAAATTTAGAGATTAAATATTGCTCAATATTGTTTTAATTTATATAATAATTATTTATAAAATATAAAATTTTTCGACTTCATTCATTGCTTGTTTCTTAAAAAATGATCATTTGGAAATTAATAAATTAAAAACTTTTTTCAACAACAAAAAAATTCATATTTTTAAAAACAATGTTTTTCAACTACAAGAAAATTGTTATTTTTAAAAACAGTGATGAAAAAATACTCGACGATAAAATTTCGAATTTTAATTAAAAAACGTAAATTTTGAAATAAAATTTTGAAAAACATAAAAAAAAACAGCGAAACTTTGGTTGCTTCGAAACCGTAATACCCTACACAGGTGAATTTCTTATAGCTTGAAAGCGTAGACAAAAAATGTGTATCTTAATTTTGATCGGTTTAACCGATGTCAAATTTTGTGAGCATATCTTGTGAAATAAAAATCCAAGCATTTGAGTTTGTTCGGTATGTTTGTATGACAGCTATATACAATAGTTGTCCGATATCGGCGTGTGCGAAATTTCAGATCGATATCTAGGAATCTGAGGGATAGTTCGCGTATATACAGACAAACATGACTAAATAGACTCAGCTCGTCATGCTGACCATTTATATATATTTTTTATAGGGTCTCGGATATTTCCTTCTGGGTGTAACAAATTTCTTAATATACCCTGTTTAGTGTATAAACATTTTCAATATTTTTAAGTTTTATAGTTTAAATGCATGACCCAAAATTTCAAATTTAAACAAAAATACGAAAATTAAATATGGAATTAAATAACTTTTGAAAATCTGACACTTTTTCTCGCGACCACGATCCAAAATTTCAAGAAGAAACTTTTACAAACAAAAATTACACTCGCAGAAGCTTCTTCTTAGTTTTTGTCGAAGTCAGGTCGGAATACACAGCGCTTTAAGGGGTTAAGGGTAGTCAGAACTTTCAAATAATAAATTTTTTTTGCAATTTCGTTAAGTGAAATATTTTGAAAATATTCTGTGAAAATTTCAAGTTGATCCGATAATTACTTTTTGACTTATTCGACAAATAACAAAACGCGCTCAAAAAAACTATGTTTTTTGAACTGGTGACAACTGTAACTTGAAAACCGCTTAGTAGATTTTATAGAAATTTATACAACTTTTAGAATATATAATAAACTCGAGCCGGATCGTAGGATTTTTTTTTTTTTTTTGGGAACTGGGTCAACACAGACATCTATAACTTTGGAAATTAAATTTTTTTTTTGAAATTATCGTGACTTCAAGTCAAAACATTGTATAATAATGCCTGACTTTTATAAAATAACATGACTTAATAGCAAAACAAAATTACTGTATAAATTTCACCATACTTTCATATATTTGTAGTTATGAGATTTTTCTAGTTAACGAGCGATATGTAATGGATTTCGTACAATTCAGTAATCTCTTTCAAGCATCAAAGTTTGTAGCGCTCACGAGTGAGTAAAATAAAAACTTATAATAAAGATTTTGTAATGCTTTCTTCTTAAGGCATATTTCATGAAAATAATAGGGTCACTAACATTAGAATATTTTTAATTTTATTTTTTGTTTTAATAGGCAGATACACACAGGTTGCTTAGTAAGAACATACAGAACCCAACAACATAAAATATGACAACCGAAATTTATGTCTTCACAGAAAGCTAGAAGCGCAACAACCACAACACTTAAGCGATTAGTTGGAAAATTTATAAACTAAACATAAATTGAAAGTTTGTATAAATTAAAAGTACTTTCAACTTAAAATAGAAAAAAATTTAATTAATTCATTACACTGTGTATGAAAAGTGTGGTTATAATGAAAACATTAAAAAATTATTATTTCAGTAGTAAATAGGCATGCATGCATTAGTTGAGTATAAACAATGAAATAAAAACAAAAACAATGAAAACCCCCTTCACGCCTTCCGCCTTCACGCATTTCTAATTCACATGGCCTTACATTTATGGTATTTAAAGATAATAAACGATAAGATTGTTATACAGCGCATAATAAAAATTGAGACAGCACAAAAATTATAGCAATGGAAAACGGAACACAACAAACAACAACAAAAACAAGAGATCACAAAGCGAACGTTAAGCAAACAAATGCTGTGTGCAAAGGCAGAGAGACAGCGCGCTACACAATTAATTCACAGAAAATATTTGTCTAACTGAACTGCAGGTCAAAGGCCAAAAACCACTCACCTGTAATCAAAAAAAGAAAAAAAAATGGGAAAAAACGCCGATATAAAAGAAAATTGAATGAGTAAAGTAAACAGCATAAAAAGAAGGAACTGTTTCAAAGCGCATTTGAGGACGCGTTGCGCGGACGGACGAACAAAGCATGGAGATGGGTGCGGTGATAGGTTGTGGCTGCCATTTGCGTACGTATTTCGTAGCCATACATTTGGTTGGTGTTGTTGCATATTTTTAGGGTAGCGCGCATTGATATTGCGCTTGTTGCTGTTGTTTTTAGCGATAGTAGTTACTTTTTTGTTGTTGTTTTATGGACTGCATTGCGCTACCTTCCGCTTACTACTTATAATTTTTTTTTGCTTTTGTTGTTGTTTTTGTTTTTGCTTGATTTTCCTTCTTTTCGCTGTTTTCATGATAGATACGCTTGTCAAAAAATTTATTAGCCAAGACGCATACAGTAGCCGCCGATATAAATCTTGCTGATTGAATAAGTTAATTCCGTTGAGTAATGTAAATAAGCGCGAGAGTGTAAGGCAAGAGAGCAAATTACAAAGGAAATTAAGGCAAACACACGCATACAGACACACATAATAAAGCCGACTGCGTGGGGATGACAAAGGGGATGGCAAAGCAAAAAAGAAGTCGCAGGAATGCTGTCATTGTCGATTGTCAGTTTGTCACGCCCGACATGAATCACCTGAAATGCGTTGTCGCATGTTTTTATTACAGTTAGATACTTTGATTATTACTTTATTTGTGCGCCTTTCCTCTGCGGTTTATGTGGCTTTATGTCAAGGGAATTCGCATTCTTGGCGATTGTTGATCGCTAAGCCGCTTTTCTCCTTCTTTCTAGCATTTCTTTTCACTTTGATATTTCGACATAATAACGATAAGACGTTATGAGTATTTCGACATTGCGCTTATCAGCGTATTAGATATACTTTATTTATGAGCTGTAATAATGTCAGACACAGGGCAAACAACCTAACACATCATTACGACGGCATCAGGGTGTGGTTGAAGCTTGCAGTGCGGGGCATGTGGAGCAAAGTGCAAAAATTTGCTTTACAACAACGCAAGCACACACTAATTAGAGCAGCGTAAATATAGAAAAGCAAACATAGTATATTAACCGATTTTATGGCATGCTTTGAAATCGTAAGAAAATGTGTGCTCATAACGGCGTTTGAATGTTAGTTAACTTTGGGAGGTATGAAAGTGACGAGAACAACGTAATAAATATAAAAATAAGTAATATAATGATTTTTATTTTTGTTTTTGCTTTTAGAGATGTTATAGGTATAAACTCGGTTCGCTTGTTAACTTGAAAAGCAAAGAAATTTATTAATAAATGGCATACAATGACAGCGCACGCCTTGAAAAGTAGCAGTTGCCGTTAAAACGCAGATTTATATTATATTGATACCACTACATATAGTAGGCAACCGATTGTTAAGTAATGAGCCAGTAGGAAAATGTTTGAATGATTCAAATAGAAACCTAAATATATATTTATACGTAATATCTAGATTTTAGCATTGCCTTGACAATAATTTATGCCAAAATTCGTGTTAAAGAGCGTGTACAATTATATACAAATAAATAAACGCATTGCCTGTTTAAAAATAAATTCATAAACCCGTTGAGAACTGTAGCTATTAGTTTAGCGAACGAACAGTGAAATCGTAAAACGAGACAGCAACATCTTTCCTTGATGACGGCGACATTTATTTACACATAACACATCGACATGTACATACTGCATAAATGCAGTTATAATAGCAAGCGTATCTATACCAACACAATTAGCTGTTCCACGGCAACTTCTTGACAGCCAGAGGAAGGCATTAAAAAAAAAATAATTTTCGAAAGGTGATCTATGCGTAAAATAAGCACTTATCAAAAGACAACACTAACACCTTCTTATATATTGTATGTACATACATATGTGTAAATAACTGTGTGTAAATATGTATGTATTTAACTTCCAACAGGCACACAATCGAGCGCAATAGCTGACATATTCGTAATTGGACTTGGAAATGAAGCGCGCAACAATTCGATATGACAATCGAACAACAAATAAAAAGGCCAACAAATCTTGATACATACATATGTACATACTAATACATATATGAATATGTGAGTAGCTCTAGCTGTATGGATGTGTGTACTTACTTGTACTTAGTGAAGCTGTAGCTTTGATAAATAAGTTGAAGCAATAGATGCGGCGATAAAGCTATAAATCCAATCATTGTCAGAAAGTTATAAATATATGCACAAGCATGTGTGTGTGTGTGTGTGTGTAAGTGTGGAATACTGTAAGTGCTGGCAGTAAATAAAACTGGCACCCCGAGGCGAGACAAGATTTTGATTTGACCAACAAAAAAAAATATTAAAAAAATACAACAATAACAACGGAAAAAGCAGACAACACTAGCGACGAGGTGGTTCAGGATGCGAGAAGATACAGTGTCGTAAGTAAAGTGCTATGCTTGGATAATGGATAGTGTTGCCACCTTTGGCGAAAAAAATATTAAATTTTATTTGTTTTAAATCATTTATAGATTTTATTTAATCGGACTTAAAAATGTTAATCAGTAAAATTTTGTTTAAAGTTATTATATTTGACTAAATTGCAAGTATCCGCTTTGCAAATTGGTTTACTGCAATAAATACAAATTAGGTGAGCTTAGATCATAGTTGTGTTTAGGTAAGGGCGGTATTTGAGTGTAATAGTTAACTGTGATAATTACAAAAATTAAATTTTGGTAAAAATTATATTTATTATTTTGAACCTTCTTCAAACCGCCAACTCTTGCAATTTCTTTCTATTAATACTCAGCAGTTTAGTTAGTAGACGCATGGCACAATTCGCGTATTAATAATATTATTTTTTATTATTACATTTTTTTTATATGGCAACGCTATTTTCGTTAAGAATTTGATATTTTTAATTTTCTGGAACATAATTTCAAATTTATTGGCACAGGCATATTTATATTAATTATTATAATTACTACGGTTTTTTGCCAATATGGTAACGCTGCAGTCGACTTAAAATTATCATTTATTGTAAATTTGTACAATTATATTAACTCGTATGTTATATATTTATTTAGTATATATTTTTAAATAAAAATGCTAACGACATGGCAACGCTGGCTTTGCGCTGTATTTAATATGTACTGTTGACAATACTAATATGTAGCAATAATTTGTAGTTGCTTGTTACTTACAACATATGTGTGTATCTACCTTACCATATAAGATATTCTTTCTTCTGCAATGCGTTAGCTTTGTGTTTTCTCCCCACCTCACTCCTCCGCACTCACACACAGCAGCAGTACGCTTTCGATTTCTTCGATACAAAACACAATGCATTGCAAAAACAACTTAAAAAGCGCAAGCATTATGCTGCACTGCGAGACATACCAATTTATACAAGTATATATGTACTCGTATAAATGTTGTATGTATTTGTGAGCAAAGAAATTGAATAAAAATAAAGATAAACATTTGCTTAAGCTGCCGAGTGCAATAATGTGGATTTTCTTGCATAAAATTCTTCTTTATTATCGTTTTTCCAGCATCGCCTTTGTTGTTGGTGGTCCAGCGCGCAGCATGAAATTTTCTAATAAAAAAAAATGCTCAAAAATAGTTTTCCGACACAACTTATTTAGACCGTGGTTGCCATGCCACGTTGTGCAGCATTGTTATAGGATTAGTTGGAGGTCGTTAAGAAAGTAATGTTCGTGTATTCGTGTTCAGTTTCTTCTTTTAAATAATTTATAGCATTAATCTTGTATGTGCTTCCATTTGCTTTCTTTAAGCATGAAATTGCTATGGGGATTATTAACGCTTGTTGCGTTTAATTTTGAAGAATTTTTCTATTCGAATATTTGCTGTGACTTCAAGTTACTACAAAAACATTTAACTTTTATACAATTTTACGGCATAGAATACAGCGACATTTAGTACAAGACCGGATTTTGGTGAATCCACTCTATACTTGACAGCCTTTCATTTCATAGTTTGCTAGAAAATTTGTTGATATAATACGAAATATATTTGTATAATATTAAGTAGACTCCATTGTATCAACTATATGTTTTCTGGCACTTAAAACTCATAAATCATCACGATCGCCTTAGGACGTTTTACGTAACATGTAATCATCAAGTATAGGTTAGATTAGGAGAAAATGGTTACACTTGCGGTGAAAACCACGGATAATCTCACTAGAATAGTTAAAAGCGCCAGCCAGTTGGGAAGCCTAAAACTTTTACAATATTTAGAATGAAGATTCACATACATGTAAATCGACCAAGTGCTTTGAACCTGTCATACATTTTTTGGTTGCCTTATATCAAGTATAGGTATTAATACATTTAGAAACAGCTCAAACTGTCGAAAATTAAACTTAAAATAAAAAACACGTCTCTTTTATTTATTTACAGATTCCGATTTCAAGAATATATTGCAGCCTGACTATTGCATTAAGAGGTTACATGGGTTTCATTTATTTTTTAATTCTCTTATTTAATTCTATAACATCTCTAAAATATTTTCCTTAATTCTCAAGTTGATATCAGTAATAGTTTTGGAGATACAGCTTTGAAAAGTTGCGCGCTCGAGGTCAGCTATATAGTTACTTAAAACTTTAAACGCGTTTTTCTCGAAACTGCGTTTTCAAAGTCGGTTGCCGAGATTTCTCGCGAGCAATTTTAACTTTTTCTTTTCCTTCGTTTAAGCACGAGTTTATGGTCTTAACTAAAACAAATATTTTTTATTTTTATTTTATATCATTCTGTCAGGAGTTATGCTGACAACGCGGACACACCTTTTTTCGAGGGGTCACCGGAAATGACGTTACAATGGCGGAGGTCTCATATTTTTTTTTTTTGAAAATCTGAGAAATTGTTCTTTAAATGTGTATCTTTAAGAGTTTGAATTAAATAAATAATTTTTTATATAAAAAAAAATATTGAAAATAGGCCTTTTTTACCCGACAGTTTTCTTAAATGCTATAACAACAACAAAAAAAATAACGTCGTTTTTCTATTAAAGTCTGCAAAATATAAAGCCAGTCTTACATATAGAGTACGGTGTTTGGTTTACATTTTTTTGCAAACTGTTCCTTATGCGAAAAAGTACGAATGGTGCTTCTCTTTGAAATTCGGCAAAAGGGCTCGTAAAAAATAAAAGATTAAAAAATTAATTACCTTAACAAAGAGAGAAAAAAATAGAGCGCATGATGGAATACTAATATACTGATAAACGAATTCCCACCCGAAATCAACACAATTACATATCTCTCAATCTTTCTAACAACACCCCAAAAATAGACACGAACATATGTATGTCCGAACGCACGCCGAAGCGTACGCATTTCCCACCACACTCCTCCGCGGAAATTAAAACTACTGTTATTTAATTCAATAGCATGAAGCCACAATACAATCTCGCAGTTCAAATTAAATGTGATTTCTGATAGACAATTTTCCTCGTCAATACCTCCAATGCGGTGTCGCGCGTCGCTCGCTGCACCAAATTGTGGAAGTGAATGAAAAGCATGAGGCATATAGCGTCGTCTCAACTGCAGCTACGAGTAGTGAACCGCCGACCCACGACGATGCGCCCTAAATGCCGCTGATTTACCAGGAGAATAAAGAAAAAAAAAACATACGTACGCGCATACACAACATAAATATCTCGAGCACTTCGCAAACAGCAGAGCATGAAATGATGATTTTCAAAAATCGAAATGAATTCCAAATGCAAATAAACAAATGAATTTGTCAATCGCAATGTGGAAGGTCGTTCGTACGGCGACGATGCGAACGATGAAGATGAGTCGAACGAACGAACTTACTACACTTCTGATCTGGTAATTTGTGAAATTAATAGACCGGAATTGTTGAGAAGCCGGCACAAAAGAGAAGATAAGCAAGCGCGAATACGTGTTGCCCGGTGAGCAACAAGCTCGGCGAAAGGGGAGTTGGAAAATATTGTAATCAGATTAAAGTGATACAGAGAACAGTCGAGCGAAATATATACAACTACGTAAATGCGTTGAACGGCGAAGAATAAATGGAAAAATAAAAAAATAAAACTGTACAGATTAAAATTAAATATTCACAAATTATACACCACAGGGAACGTAAATGACAAATGCTACAACAACAATACAATTTTGAATAACAATACTGAAGGCATGCCTTAGATGCTTAGTACAAAACGATCGAAGTTTTTTAAGTATTTTGAGTTTCGATTGATCTATATAAGTAAAAAAAAATAAAATAACTATACTGAATATTATAGTTGTGGTCATAGAAAATTGTTGAATTAATTGCCGTCAAGTATTTTTTATTAAGTATGGTGGCCTGGGCTCATTAAAGCAATAAAGCTCATGTACCCAAATAAAAAAAAAAACTATTTAAACAATAAAAAAAGAGTCAGAACTTTGCTGTTCCTGATGATGGACGAAACCCATATCTTAATTCTGCGATCACAAAATGCACTAATTTCATGCCTTAAGGTATTTGATAATTGTGAAAACTTTCGCTAGAAAGAGAAATGCGGAATTTCTCAAAATTCATCCTCATAAATCTCATGAACACTCGCTTAAAGCTCAGATAAAGCCTTTCGAAAGCTTCTTAAGTGTATTTTTTTCCTTCTATACAATAAAATATCTTTTCTAATAAATATTGAAGTAATATTATCCACAAGTGTTCATCAGCAGGAAATGCAAAAGCAACCTCACACAAATTTGTTTACTCCTCAGTATTACATTCTCCCTAGTTCCCATTTCGTGTTGATGTTTTTATGCACGTCAAACACTTCGGGGCCAGCGACACATTTTAAGAGGAAAACAATATTGATAAAGCTGCGATAACAACACACAGCCAGATTGCCGCATGGAGCGCCAGAACAGCTTGACAGTCAGCTAAGGCTGTTCACTAATTGATCAGTATGCGCTGACAAGTGAGCATTAACTCGTCAAAATGTTGGAATATTTTTTCTATGCATATATGTTTACTTGTCGCTAACTATCAGCTCTATCTTATCGGCGCATAAGTTTATAAATAAATAAATGGTAGATAATAAAAACGAATCAAGTAACAAGCTGATAACGGGTTTAAGCTTTATGTGTGCTCTACAAGTATAAAATACATAATACATAATGGATAGGGAGACGCGTTGTGTATATGCCTATATATTTGAGTGATCACGATGCAAAGCGAATGATACGCGGAGTTAATAAATTGGAAATTTGATTTGAATTTATGAAGCGTAGGAAATTAAAACTTTGTAAGCAAATAAAGTTTGCAAAGCGAAGTGATCAATTTGGCATTTACTGGACTTATTGGCTAGATTAGGTACAAGTATATACATAAGTATCTACCTATAATGCGGACGCAGTGTGATTTATGTGCGTAGGATAAATAAAAGGTTCAAGTTGGGTGATATGGCAGTCTTAAGGTGTTATCAAACTAATAAGGGTCATAAATTACCGAGGCCACTGTGTCAGCAATGTTTAAATCACGCAATACAATAATTACATTTATGTGATATTATTATTAATTATAATAATTTGTTCTCCAATTGCTAGGATATAAATAAGTATAAGGCTTAACGCCAGTAACGCTCACTTTGTCAAACTGTTTGCATAGGTGGCGCTGCTGTTGAGTTCTTTTTAAATAACGCATTTTTTGAACAATTGGTTAGTTAGTTTACACTTTGAACTACATTAGTGCTTTCTTAGCAAAAAATTTACACGCTGGATAACCAAAGCAGCTTCAAATTTATTTTAATTGCTGTTTAGAGTGCAAATGTTGTTTGACGGTAGAAGCTCTTTGCTTTAAAATTGTTAGCTTTCTACAAATCTTTCAAATAATTTTCTTGCATTTTATATATAATAAAGTTATAGAGAATATGCGGAACTTGGTATAACAGACAATTTACAGCTTCAGTTCGTTTTTTTTTTTATATAAAAGAGCGTTTATACGATTATCAGTGAGCCTTTTATCGAGTTTCCTTAGCAGTTGAAAGATTATAACTGTAAGTTAGTTCGGTTTTGATCTTGGCATTTGAAATGATATAGTTTGACATAATTAATTATTACTAATTTGTGTGCCACTCTTTGGCAACTTCAATTTAAGTTATTATAATAGATTTAAATTTCCCGTCACTACAGCTTGGACCAAAAGTTTTTCCAAAGCTTTTGGTTTTATTTCCTTAGTCGAGGCTAAACTTTCCGTTTCCTCATTTAACAGGAATTTCTAACTGTCACTCAACCTGAACTTAAAGCTTTATCGGAGCTTTAATTGTTATTTCCTTGGTCGAGGTTATAATGCGCTTCCCAATTTAACAGAAATTTCTATTTAGTCAAAAAAAGTGTAGAAAGATGCCTTAATCACTGCTACAATTAGCTTTTCGTGATCGGAATTGAAGCTTTCATTTGAACTTGTTCAGACATACTTTCAAGAAAATATATTTATAAATAAATTGTTATTCCAGAAAATATTTAGTTGATCGAATTTGAAATATTTTTAGTTTTTTGGGCGCTGCTATGGAAATAGTTGGTCTTTAGCAGCGGAGCAAACATTTCATGTTCAAAGCTTTCTTTATCAAAAGCTCAAGTGAAATATTCAAGTTCCGAGCATTATTTAACAACTCCAATGAAAACGAATTTTTGAGTTTAGCGTCGCTAACCCCCCACACACTTAGTGTGTCAGTGTTTTTGTTGCAAGATGGACAGATTAAACAGTTTTAATTCTTATTATATGTTTGCTATTCTTATAAATAAACAATAGTCAAATAACCGCACTTTGGTAAACACGCCCTACGGCGAAGTCATCAAAAGAGTTGTTATACACAAATTCAATGAGCGCAGATTAGCCGTATCGCTCACGGCGCTACAATAATACAAACATCTTTGGTTGATGGCAGCAGAGTTGGGGCAGCAGCGCTTTTCATTGATATCGCAATCGACAGAAGCTTAATCAAAACATGAAAGCATAACGCTATTTGTTTAAGTAAATGCAAGAATGCAAAGGTAACTGCATATGTGTGTGTGTGTATGAGTGCCAGTGTATGGGAGATCCTAGGGTTGTGTGTGGCTGTGCGGTGGGCGGGCTGCATCATAATTTTCAACAATTTGTTAATGCACAAGTCTGCCAAAGCGTAAGCAATATCAAAAGCCTATCAAATAACGGCTGGAATGAGGCGCGCACACACACACTTTTTAAAATACAAATTCAACATATTATATATACAAACTCATATGCGCATATACATATATGTAGGTTAAGTGCATGATGACTCGAATGAGTATAATAGAAATATGTTTGCATGTGTTTGTATATATGTGTGTGCGCGCACTTTCATATGGAGAAATAAAGAATTTACGTATTTTATGACCTTAATTAGACGTGCATGGCATGAAATCATATAAAATATTTGCATATGTGAATATGTATGAGCACTTGCGCCTTGGCGAAAAGAGTAAACAAAATAAGCACAACACAGCCAAAACAATAAACGAATACTAGAAATAGAAATAAATTAATCTTTTTAATCTCCAAACAGCGGAGAGTCGGCAGCGTTCGTTTTCGGCACTGCGCCGCATTATGTCGACGATTGACGAAATAATTGGCGGTAGAATTAAGCTGTGGCTGCAGGTCATACAATTCAATACATATATATGTAAATGATTAAGCGCAAAACAAACAGCAACAAAGTCAGCACGAATGCAAAAAAAAGGCGCAACAGCGTGCATGTGTGTGTGTGTTGAAGGAAAGGGAGACGGACGTGCTGGCGCGGTCACTAGGTGGGGAGCAGTCAAAAGCAATTAAATGAAAATTTTTAATAATGAATAGTAAGTAATGTTTGTTTGTGTTTGTATGTGTATATGTATGTTTACTTAGCGGTGTATGGCGGTTGTTTCGAACGCCT